AAAATTAAAATTTTTAATTAACTTTTAAATTTAAATATTAATATTTAATAAAAATTTAAAATTAAAATTAATAAATAATAAAAAAAATAAAAATTCTTATAAATTTTATCTGTTCTAAATATATTTATTTATTTAATAATGTATAAAAATTTACAGAAAAATTGTATATTCGCAAACCACTGCCCTTTAGTAGATTGTGATGGGCTATTTTGGGCCCCAAAGGTATTGGGTAGATCCAAACCCCAAAAAACTCGAAAACTCAGAATAATTCGGCCTGCTCTACCTGGGTATAAAATTGGGTTCTTATGAGCCCAGTTTTAGTCCGGCCCAAGGGAATCTGTTCCCATTTGGCTCACGATAAAGCCGGGAAAAAGAGAGAGAGAGAGAATAAAAAAAGCGCCACTGGTTCTGGTTCCGGAAGTTGCGGAGGCGTCGACGCCCTGAAGTTACTGCAAGGGTTCCGGCACCGGCACCGGCACCGGCAGCGGAAGTGGCTTAAGTATAAATTCATGTAAGCCCTAAACTTTCTGGCCTTGTGTATTTATTACTAGTAAATCTCTGTATGAACAAATGTTTGTGTCAGATTTGTGCTCTTCTCCTGTTCGGTTAAATGTCTCTGAGAATTAAGTAGTGACTATTCTGGGTTCTTATGGTTGATGTTAGGAAAAAAAAGGGTAACAGTGCATTAGAGCTTTTATATTCTAATGGATGATGTAGCTTCATTTAATGGATAGGTTCCTACCTTAACCAGCAGGGTATATCTCTGATTGAGGGATGGTGAAGTTTTCAGGGTATTCTTTGATATCTTCATTTACACCAGTTCACTCTGTTGTCCTGAAAAGTCGTCGCAGATTGTTTTTAGTTAAATGTTGCAAAAATTCAACTAAATCAAGGGGCCTCAGTACTTGTGTTCAAGTGGATCAATTATATACCAAGGGCAACATGGTTGCCAGACGTTATCACCGTCCTTTGTTTAGGTATTTTATCTACATATGTTGATGCTATAATATTTTCTTTTAAATGGGACTTCAATAATGTAATGTATTGTAATGTCCTGAATTTGATTTGTTCCATTCTATGATTTCCAGTGTAGCTCCAATGATGGACTGGACGGATAACCATTTTAGGACTCTTGCTAGGCTTATATCAAAGCATGCATGGCTCTACACTGAGATGCTTGCAGCTGAAACAATTGTTTATCAAAAAGGAAATCTGGCAAGTGAAAAACCCTTCCTTTTTGAGTTGTTCATAAGAAGAATATCAACATTATGAGTTCTTGTTTTAAGATTATAAATTTATAAAGAATGCTTTTGACTCTCAAATTGTGCTTGAAATCTTATCAAAACAATATTACTTGCATCATCCTTCCATTTTTAACAAAGATATCTGGGTCAGATTTGTTATTAATTTTGCTTCTTTAATTTGATTGTTTGTTCGGATTATATAACTTGACCTCATTAACTGCTAGGTTTGTCTCTGTTAACTACTACTGATTTGCATCCTTTTTTTTTTTTTTTTCAGGACAGATTCTTGGCATATTCTCCAGAACAACATCCAATTGTCCTCCAAATTGGTGGAAGTAATTTAGAAAACCTGGCAAAAGCAACTGAACTTGCCAACGCTTACCACTATGATGAGATAAATTTCAAGTTCGTACCTTTTTCTATTCCATTAGGCTTCTATCTTCATTTTACTCTTTTTCTTTTTAACTGAGACCTTACCTTTTCCACCTTCCAAACCAGTTGTGGTTGTCCTAGTCCAAGAGTAGCTGGGCATGGGTGTTTTGGTGCTCGTCTTATGCTTGATCCAAAGGTTTGATAGCCATACTGATAAGCTTGTCAGATACAAGCAGACTAGATAATTTTATTTTCTTTCTCAACTTGGTCTTATACTTTCATTTTGTACTTACAAGGAAAGTTTGTTGGAGAGGCCATATCAGTAATTGCTGCCAATACCAATGTTCCTGTCACTGTCAAATGCAGGATTGGTGTTGATGATCATGATTCATACAATGAGCTCTGTAAGGCCTTTCTTCCCATATTCTGTCTCTTCAAGGAAAATAAGCTTGGATAACAGATTTATTCTTTGCTGGACCTAGAAATGGGTTATACTTATACCTGTCTTCATGTTAAGTACTGACTTTTTTTTATTTATTTTATGGTAAGGATGCTGGTGCTATTCCCGACTATGTTCCTTTTTGTTTCAGGTGATTTTATCTACAAGGTTTCTTCCCTCTCCCCAACCAGACATTTCATCGTACATTCACGGAAGGCACTGCTCAATGGCGTTAGTCCAGCTGATAATCGAAGAATTCCTCCCCTCAAGTATGTGGTTAATAATATAACAGTTCTATTGAGCTATATTCCAATTCACTTGAGAAATAATATTAGTTTATTTATAATTTGTTGCAGATATGAGTACTATTATGCCCTTTTGCGTGACTTTCCAGACTTAAAGTTTACAATAAATGGAGGCATAAATACTGTTACTGAGGTGAATCTTTGTTCTATTGTTCCTGGTCACCTTGTATATTCCCGATCTTCCTGTGGCTGCTACTAAGAAATTAAAGGCTGTTGTTTGTCTTTTGCTGATTTTTTTCTTAACACATTAAACAAGGACTGTTAGAATATGGCAAGTTTCAGTAGAAAAGAGGATGCCTTTATGTCCGTGTATGATGGAATTTTGTTAGTTTGAATCTTTTAATGTCTACCTTTGATTTCCTGCTTTGGTGCCATGACTCTTATTGGTGCTTGTGCTAGAAATCCATAGTCTATTCTTATAAACATTCCTACTTGTAGGTAAAGGCAGCACTAAGGGAAGAAGCTCATGGTGTTATGGTTGGGCGTGCTGCATACAATTAGTATGTATAATGTGCAACTTCATTTTTGTTTGGTCATTTTCTCACAAGTAAACTTCAGTAATTTTTATCAGTCACAAGTCTTTGAATTTCTCCCTGACTTGTTAAACTCTTACAATCTGCTGGGTTTTGCTTATCCTCAATTAGTTGATTTACTAATGTTATTCATTATTGAGCAGCCCTTGGCAGCTTTTGGGACATGTGGATACTGTGATTTATGGTGCACCACCCAGTGGGCTCACACGCCGTGAGGTTTATTTCACTCCTTAGTGAATGTGATAGCTTAAATTTCATTGTTTATTAATATTTTGCACCATACACTATTGATTATTAGGTCCTTAAAAAGTACCAAGAATACGGGGACTCTGTTCTAGGAATAAATGGGAATAATAGACCTAATGTCCGGGACGTCGCAAAGGTAGGCTAAATAACCTTGTCACATGCTCTATCATTGCAGAAAATTTCCTATGTACATGATGCCTTAGAGCTAGCATCCTACATACAGTTTACATTGTCTTCACTGACTTTTTTACTCATTATGCAGTTTATAAGGTTTGACATTATTGAAAAAAGGTTTTTCCTTTGGCTCTCTAAACATAATGTAATGAAAGTGTTGTAATCTACTGCAGCCTCTACTCAACTTTTTCCACTCAGAACCTGGAAATAGTCTGTGGAAGCGCAAGGCTGATGCCGCTTTCCAGGATTGCACAGTATGCATATTATTTTCTTCCATTCATAGCTCAAATTTTAGAATGCAAGTTCCTGATGTTCATATTTTGCAGACAATGAAATCCTTCTTTGAGGAAACCCTTGTAGCAATACCCGATTCTGTTTTGGATTCACCGGTGGGAGAAATACCATCCGGTCGTGAAGATCTGTTTGCTGGCGTACACAGTTTACTGCCACCTCCTTATGATGCAAGTGAACAAGAAGCACTGTATGCTTAGAACTTTATTTTCTCACATTAGATTCATCTCATTTCTAACCCTAACTTTCAACCTTTTTATATATGACCAAACAACACAGGTCCAATGTATCACTGTGTATCAAATACATCAGTTGATTATTGTCTCAAACACCCCTTAGGGGTTTTTGCTACATTCTTCTTTATTATTATAACATCAGCAAGTTCCTGAGTGGGGTCATTTTTGGAATTGGAATGTTTTGTTATTTTGTTACTTTGTATGAATAATGTGAAAATTTCTTGATAGTCTTACTCCAGTAAAAGGAAAAAGACATCTGTGGTTGCTGGCTGCCGCTGGGTGTATTGATAAATCATTGGTCCTCTAAGAACAGCAACCACTAAACTGAGTTCAATTGCTTCCCTCCACATATTTCCACCTGGATAATACAACATGACATGGCATTCATATATTGGTTCCAAATCATTCTTTGGATAGAATACTTGTATTCTGGATGCTCCAAAAATGATCTGAGTCTCCCCTCACCCATATTTCCATCAATTTAACCAACCTGAACTGAACCACTGGGAAAAACAAAAACCCTTCAGCTAAAAAATGGCATCCATCTCCGTTTCTTCAGCTCCATTCCTTTGCACGGCCACCCTTCCCAGCCAGTCTCAGGTGACTTCCCAGCGGAGACTTGTCATTGCAAATGCTGCTAAAGTGGAGGAGAGTGTTAAGCTGAGCTGTGAGGCCAAGAAGGAGTGCAGCAGCAATGGCAGGAGAGACTTGATGTTTGCTGCAGCTGCTGCCGCAGTTTGCACCGTGGCTGGCGTTGCAATGGCAGGAGAGCCAAAACCAGGCACGGAAGAAGCCAAGAAGCTGTATGCTCCAGTCTGTGTCACCATGCCTACTGCTAAGATATGTCACAAGTGAAGAGTCTTTGTCTTGGATTGGCTGTAATTTTCCTTTTCTTCAATTCAGCTCAAGACCTGAAAAATGAATGATTGTTCAATCAATCACTATTGAAATTTGCTTTCTCTCCCTGATAGAGATTTATCATTGGATATTTGGTGTAACAAAAAAATAGATATATTATGTTTAAGTGTTTCGAAAAAAAATCTATTTTCCATGGAAGTGAAATACCTCTGGCGAAGAAGAATGCCCAAGACGCAGAAAACCTGGTCCTCTTTTTTTTTTTTTTTAATGTATGAATAATAGATTCATAATTTTAAGGTAAAAATCCTTTTTAAGCTTCCAAACTTACCTAAATGTAGCATTTAAGTTGTTAAACTAAAAATAAAACAAATAAGCCCTCAAACTCCATTAATGATGCAAACAAACCTTTTTCACAAAAGAGTCAAATGGTATTTCATATTTAATGTCACCTTGAAAGCATGAACACCCATGCATAAGAAGTGTTTATTTGCATCGTTAATGGAGTTTGAGGATTTATCAACTTTATTTTTAGTTTGGGAGCTTAAATGCTATTTTAGGATAAGTTTGAGGGCTTAAGGGGGTTTTTGCCTAATTTTAATAAGAGTATAGTCGTGCTTTCACCACCGCCCTTCCACTTCCGTGACACGTAAAAGACATTACTGCCCTCAATTCATTTTTTATAATTTTAATTTGATTTTTTGTTTTTTTTAAATATAAAAATTAAATAAAAATTTAATAATTTATATAAATAATAATTAAAATTTTTTTTCTTATATGAAATTTTTGCAGAGCATTTTTTTTGATAAAAAAAATTCAATTATAATTTATATAATATATTAAATTTTTAATTAAAATTATATTTAAAAAATTAAACAATTAAATTTAGAGTACTTTTAAATCCAGTAACTTTTTACTCCATCTCATCTCTCTGGCTTTACCAAAATCTTCCATTCCTCAACAACCGCCGTCGCCATGGAAGCACAAAACGACTACGACGCCTCCTTCAGCTCCACCACGAGCTGGACAATCACCGGTGGCTCTCTGGATAATACCGTCACCGTCCAGTCCTCTTTAGCTCTGATCACCGACAACAATGGCGATGACGATGATGTAAACGCCCTCCAATCGGCTCTCAAATCTCCCCTCCTTTTGTGCCCTAGCTCTCCTGATTCCGCCCCCTGCGAGATCAAAAGTGAGTCCTACGAATTTTTTGTTGCCTTATTGACTTATTGTGTTCTGTTTGCAGAAAGAAACTGAATGATTTCATTTCCTTTATGTACAAGTAGGAAAATTTGGAGAAAAATTAGCATTCCATGTTGTAATTAGACTTCAAAAGGCTTGGTCATTCATCTCGTTCTCAAGTTCCAAAATTTTGTTGTGAATTGGAAGCACTTAAGCCTGGAACTCAGTTGGCTGTTGGATTAGGATTTGACTTATCAGAGTGGTTCTTTTATGAAGTCAGAATTAGGATTAGAACTTGTAATTTTAGGGGTCCGAATAAGGATCAGATTTGAAGAGAACAAGTAATCTTAAATTCTTTTTTCTTTTAAATCATGGGTTGCACAATAGGAGGCAACCCTCTCCCATCCCTTAATCCACCCCACCCCACCCCACCCACATGCCATGCAACTTACGGCCTTTTACTTCCATAGGAAGGATATTATCACTGGGTTATTTAGGTCCTTGGCAAATTCTTACTTGTTATGTTATTTGTATCAATAAACCATGGTTTTGTGAAAGTTCTCTTAATTGTGTATTTCGAGGATCAGGGTCCGAGGCAGATGAAGATCAAGAGCTTGCTGAAAGCAAGGGTGATTTCTGTTATTCTCTATTTTATCCATTGGTTCTGCTCTATGGTTAGCAGAATCCAATGTCTAGTGTGTGAATTGTTTTCACCTATTTATTGACTACTCAGAGCATGCATATTCATTGAAGCAAACAATTTTCTAGTTTTACGTGCTATTGACCCCTCCTCCGTGCAACTGGATTCCATTTCATTGTATTTAAAATCTTTCGTGGGAAGTTTGGAAACTTGTTTTGAGGGATTCATTCTTGAGGCACACTTAAGTATGTCTTTCAAGTGTCTAATGTTGGAGAATTTGATTGTTCATCTAGTCAAGCATGGTATGGAAATTTGTATTAGAGCAGTAGAGCTTATAATATGGAATTTGCAATTGAAGAAATGATAGTTAAAGAGAGAGATTATACTGTTTATGTGTTTCACATGAAAATCGTGCAGGGATTGCTCATTTACATTTACCCTAGTTAGTGTTGACCCTATTTTTCATATTTCCTAGTATCATGAACTACTAGTACAGGTGAAATGATTATGAGCTTCTTTCTCTGCAGTTGCTTTTGCTCAAAAACGTGCGGTGAGGCAGGTTTATGTTCGAAGTACTGCTCAAGTATTTGAAATATACTATGCGCCTTCACTTCAGTCCATAAATGAGTTTCTTTGTACCCTTCACTGTGAAGCTGCCTTGATACATCCAAATGGAGCTGTGAAAAGACTGGATGTAAAGAGTATACACAGTGAAAGTAATTCAAGCACAAGTGAAGATGACTGGGTTGAAGTGAAAGCTCATGATTCTTTGGTAGTTGATAATGCAAATGGTTCTTTGCCGTCAAATTTTAATAGAAGTGCACAGGTATAATTTTCTCTTTTCCTTCTTGCCGTTTGATACAAGCAATTGTTAGCATTTTGACCACTTTCCACCTGGCATTTCAAAGGGAAAAAAAAAAGCTCATTTTCATCATATATTCTCCTACTTCAAAATTTCAGGATTTGTATGAGGCCACTGCAGAGATTAGCGATGCAAACCCTTGCATTTCCATCACCCTTCGGCTGCTTTCACTTCAGGATAGAGGCTGTCTCTTTGTTGATGAAGTCTATGTCTTTGCTGATACCCTTGATTTAGATGAATCAGAAAACCAGTCGGACCAAATGGGAAACCTAGGTGGAAGTACTCTTATGGCCATGCTTGCTCCTACATTTCTACAATTATCTAGGACAACAGAGCTTCGCCAAATACAAAATGAGCACACTTTTGACGCGCAGGAAAAAGAGAAGACAACCAAAAGTGGGTCAAATACAATTGGACTGTTGAATTTTGCTGATAGAACACAACAGGAAGGAAAATCCAGTTCCTCAGATCAGCAGCAAGTGAAGCTGCAGGAAGGTGTTGAGGTGCATGCAAAAACAGCTCATTGTGAGGTTCTTACTCATGTTTCAGATAGAGAAAGCAAGCCATATCGATCACATGTTCATGTTGAAAGTGTCCTGGATCAACTTGCTTCTCATGTGAGCACAATAGAGGACCTCTTGTTAAGGTTTGAAGAGAAAATGTTAAAGCCCATAAGCAGCATTGATGCTAGGCTTCAGCGGGTGGAGCAGCAACTTGAAGAACTTGCCAAAAAGGGCCAGAATCATGGATTACCGTCTTGCATAAGATATTATGCTCCTGAATTTTCATGCTCTGATTCTGATCCTTACTCCTCTTATAACTTTAGAAAAGAACCTGTTAGATATGATTCACCCGAATCATTTGAGAAGGAATCTTCTTCATCTAATTCTCCTAAAGCTATGGATCATTTGCTAAATGCTACTCAACCATTCCCGAGTCTTGTAGTTACTGCTCCTGATTTTCCCATTGCTGATGCTGAGGAAGAAGATCATGCACCAGTAGCTAATTCACCAAAGAACATTTTGTCAATTGATGATGCCTTAGCATTTGCCTTTGCTGATTTCCTGTCTTCAACTTCAATGGATAATCAGAAGTATAGTCAAGCTCTTGTAGTTAAAGCTCCAGATTTTTCAAATGAAGAGGATGGTAGCACTAGCAGTAGCAGAAAGGGTCTGCTAAAATCAGAAGTTGAAATCACATCTTCACCTTCAACCTGTACTGATGCAGCCAGTGGGATGGATTGCATAAAAGGGTTAGAGAGTGTGGGGGAAGTGATTTGCTCTCTTGATGACGAGCATTTCAACAGAGAAGCAGTTGAAGTGAAGGAACATTCCAAGCCTCAGGAGGAAGGAGCAGATGATTCCCAGATCAGGGATGTCTGCAAAGTTGCTCTAGCCAGACATGAAATTGAAAAAGATGACATGGGAAACGTGGAGGCTAGCAAGAAGTTAAATGAAATTTGGGTTGTTGAGGAAACTGAAATTCTGAACCAGTTCTTTGAAGATCAGGGTTGTGATGGATCTGGTACTACCCATGGAGAGGCTGAAAACTCTGAACTCAAAGTAGAAGCTACAAAAGAATGGTCCTCTGGAGGTATTCTACAAAATTTTCTTGCGTTTCCACAAGCTGCTTCTATGGTAGATTTCGAAACTCCAATATTCGATGTTGACTTTATTTCTGAAATCAACTCCAATATGAAGTCTCCCTTTGAAGCCCTGTGGTATGGCATGTCAGTCACAGATTATGAAAATCCTTGCATAGAAAAGTGTGACGATGGTTTCTCAATTGGTGAGCAATCTGGCTTGCTTCAGGTGGTGGATGAGGAGGAGACTGGTCCTGCAACTGGTAGTCATGTTCTGTTGGATGAGACTATTTACAGTGTAAGCAATATCCCTCTAAACATAGACAGTGAAAAACTGGGGGACTACCATGCATGCAGCCATCAGGAAATTTCGACTGCAAGTCTAATATGAAAATGCAGCCAGTGTTTCTGCTAATATAGCCTGTAAATAGTCTGCTTTGCAAGGAAAAATAGTTTGGAACTAATTTCTTTTTCTTGTAAGTCTTTACCTCTTTGTATATAGCAGCAGAAGCTGATTCAAAGTGTATTTTCTTTTTCTTTTTCCTTTTTTAAATAGGAAAACTGATTTAAGGTTTGATGCTTTATGATTGGTGTAAGCTATGAGAACAGTCGTTTAATAATCTGAATGTGTTTTTCTCATATTGGATTACTAGGACTAATTATTTTGATTTCAGTTCTAGAAAATTTGACATTTAGGTATGTTATTAGTTTTTTCCATTTTTTCTTTACCTGTTAAATTTTGTTGATTTTTTTTTTTGATTAGTTATATTTTTAAAAAATATCACGTTTTATGTATTATGCGATTTTTGCCCTTATTCGTTTTTATAATTTGTTATTGAGGGTGGAAACCGAAAATAAGAAAGACAGATACCAGGTAATTTCTATTTTTATTTTTATTTTTATGTTCATGTAATTTTAATTAAAATTAGTATGGTTAAATACCTTTTTGGTCCCTCTACTATAAGAAAAATTTTTTTTTTAGTCTCTATACCGAAAAAATCCCTTTTTTCATCATGGGTTTGCGAAGAATATGAGGATAGAAATGGAAAATGAAAAGATAAAGGGAAACAATGATTTTTTTCTTTTAATTATTTTAATTATTTTAGGACTTATTGATTACATGGAAAATAAATCTGATTCCCAACTCATCAATTTTGCCATGTGTAATCCCATGTCACCATTAAAAAGACAAAAAAAAGACATTTAACAGATAATTGTGCCATGCTGTCACTTAACTGACAGAAGGACTAAAAAATGGTCGAATTTCAAACAGTAAGGATCAAAAAGGAGATTTTTTCGGTATAGGGACTAAAAAAGGGTTTTTTCCTATAGTAGAGGGATCAGAAATGGTATTTAACCAATTAGTATTTATCAATTAAATTTATAAAAAAATTAAGAAAAAAAAATATTATTTTAATAAAATAAAATAAAATAAATATTTTTTATTTTAAAATTTATAATGTTTAATTTTTTTAATATAACTTTATTAAAACAATATATTTTTGAAATTTTTTTTGCTTAATCTTTGTAATAAACGTTTATATCAACTCTTCTGATTTTAATCTTAATGTTACTCCCTCTACTTTTTTGTTTTTTTAGTTGTTTTAGTTTTTTAATTTTATATAAATTAATT